TATATATATATATATATATGAATATTTTGACTTATTTACCTTTTTTGTTTTTCATAAATTTGATCCATGTCTGTTCTCATACAGCCCACCTGGCTCCCCCCCTAACATCAGCTACTTCCCTACTGGCCACACCCCTTCAGCTGGCTCAATCCTCTCAGCCCCACACACAGCACTGATACGAATGCAAGGCCACGCCCCTTCCCATGCTTATAATAGCGGGGTTAAAGAAATCCTCAGCATGGTACATGGATATCAGGTGAGTTTAAATACACCCACGACTGCACTGTAATATCATTGTGAGTTCAGGAATTGACTTCCTACCAAATAGCAAGTAACTAAATTATTTACAGTTCACTGCTGGCCTCTGCAGAATTTAAATGTATTAGTAACCACCTGCACAATGTTATTGAGCACCACTGATCCAAATACAAGTCCTAGTTTGTTCCACATCAGAAACTCAGTGTTTGTGTGTGTGTGTTTATAGGCAGGGCAGGGCTGGATTGTAGGGAACATTAAGGTGTGTTTTTGCCCTGCAGTGCTCAGCATTGAAGATTTAGATGCTTTAGTGGGTTTGAGTAACAGGACCGCATAGTTGCATTGTCACAACCCCTCAATGAGCTAAACAGGTTCCTCTGGTCTAAATTCCCTCACAGACACACACACACTGAGCTAAGGCGCGGTGCATTGGCCTGCTCTAAATTGACTACTGGTTTTCCGTTCCATTGCAGTAGGAGCCCGGTGTTAATATTCTAGATCAGGCAAAATAAATCTTCATACATAAATAATAATACACACAATGAACACTTCCATATTGCACAAACCTACTCATATTATTTATATATGTATGTATGTATGTATGCATGCATGCATGCATGTACAGTATGTATTTATATATATATATATATATATATATATACAGTGGGTACGGAAAGTATTCAGACCCCCTTAAATTTTTCACTCTTTGTTATATTGCAGCCTTTCCGTACCCACTGTATATATGTGTGTGTGTGTGTGTGTGTGTTATATATTAAAATGTCATTATATAAATCATACATTTAATTTTTATGCTTATTATAATTGAATTTATATATTATATAACAATCATATTATAATTATAATTTTTAAATACATTAAAACAAATATATATGTATATGGGTAAAAGACATGACGTCCCATTTTGGTGTCTGCATCATGTTAAATGTACAAAAGTGATTTTATATATAGAAAGCATATATAATGCAAGGTAGTGTCTACTTTCATGTTTCAAATAACTTTTGTGAAAAAAATAATATGATAATATGTGATATAATGTTTCATCGTCATTCAACATAACAGATATATTTATGTAAAAATGAAACTATTAAAAAAGAACTATTGTTACACTGAATAACATTTTAGTGTGTGTCTTTTGTAAATCATAGTAAAAAAGTATGATAGTCATCATTTTTTTTCCAGAAAACATTAAATTAAACAGGACACATTTTAATATACAGGGAAAAAATGTAAAGCTGTATATTTTATATATATACTGGATAACTGTAATACATTTCATATTTATTTCTAATAAGGGAAGGAGACCCTCTGCAATCAGAATAAACTAGGCTAGGGTGTGTCATTTTCTTTTCAACATTCTTGCTTCGAGTTAAGGGCGTGAACTTGAAGGGTTTCACCCAAAGTATGTAAGTGTGTTCAAAATATCGTTTACTATATTAAAACTGCAGTAATTATTGCTATAGTATGTACTTGATAGTATTACGCATTATGCAGAATATAACACGAAATATTTAACACCACAGGAGTGAAACGTTCTATTAGGCTGCCTAATGGGCTAACAAACTCATTCTAAAAACAGCTGTGACTCCTGCCATGCACACCCACAATGTACGTCTTTCCCATGCAGGCTGTACATTCGCCTCAGGCGGTTTGCTAGTTAGTCAGTAGGAGGGCTGTCACTCATTTGAGGTGGGACTTATTACAAATAATGAGGCATAAGCATGTGTTTCTTGAGTAAATGTAATTTCTTTCTGTCTCCTTTAGCCCGGTAACAGCGACGCTTTGGTAACTCTCCCTTCTATGCTGTCGGCCAAGCAGCCTATTGGAGACCAGACTGTAGGAGGCGGAGCCTATCTTGACTTGCAGTTGCTTTAAGCCAATCTATTGACGAGGCCACGCCCTTGTGGTGGATTCAACAAACCCCTTAATACAAAGCAGTTTATGCCATTTATGCTATTTATATAAGAATTTAAAAAAAGAATTATATGTATTTTGACATTTAATGTATATTGCACATTGTTTTTTTATGCATTAGAGCAAATATTCTACTCATACGGTTTGTTGCGTGAGTTTGTATGTTTGTGTCCATGCACATGCAGTGATGTTCACTCAGGAAATAGCTTCTTGAACCAGGGTCTAAACATTAAATTTGCCGAATCAGACTTTTGCTGATACCGTAAATTTAAGCCAAAGGACCAGAAAAAAAGTGTGTGTGTGTGTGTGTGTGTGTGTGTATATGTTTGTGTGTGTCAGTGCCTCCCTGTTGATGTGACTCTACCGTGAGTATGTGTAAATACGTAGAGACATTCTCAAGCCTCTCTTTTTTTTTCTTTGAAGGTTTTAATTTGCATGAAGTTCATAGAGCTAGCTGTTCTAACATGTTTACAAGATTCGCCAAACTCTTACATCACGCACAGTGTAGTTCGTGGATGTATGCAACATGTAGTTCTTCTAAGTCATTTCGCCAAAAATAGCTCAGAACCAGAATCAGGAACAACTTTTGTGCTTTATATGTGTGTACCTGTGTCATGCCTAAGAAAACTATGTATTGTCCGTACTAATCAATGTACAAAATTCTATAGCTAATTGTGCTTGTGGATGTGTGCATGTGTAGTAGATGTAACCAACTAATGAATATGTGTGTGTGTTTAGCCAAAAAAGTCAATGCATGTGTGTTTATTTACTGCACTCAGAGAGTGTTTCGGGCCTGCTGTAATGCACACAGGTGTATTTTCACCCATTGTCTGTGTATTAAGGAGAGTGTTTGTGTGCATCTGCTGGAATGTGAACAGGTTCATTTGTTACCTGCAGCTGTGTCCCATCTGTACCCTCCTGTTTGTTTATGCCAATGTGCCTCATTTATTATACTCTGTGCTTTTTTTTAATACTAGAAGTAATTTGCATGTTTAGGCTTTTATGAGCAGTAAGAGTAAAGTGTATGACAGTGAAATAGTCAGTGTGATTTATTTGTACTAGTACCCACACATGCCAGCGGGCAGTAGTTAAGCAAAAGCACTACTCTTTCATGTTACCGATCTGTTACCATCATATTTGTAATTCGTAAACATATGTAGGAAAGAGAAGTCAAGAATTTGGCTGTTTGGAGAAAGTATTTTATTTTGATATTTTATAATGACTTAAAATAAAGGAAATTTAACAACGTTTCTGAGGGATTGAGTGACTGACTCACTATGTACGCATTTACATTTCCACACCTAAAAAAGTGAGAAGTGATTGAGCTACATTAAATAGATTTTATTTCAGTAATTGTGGTCATATCAAAATATTAACACTGGAGTTGCTCTCCCTTATGGTAATCAAGTTGTAAACAAGAAAATAAAAAGTTTACATTTCATTTTGCTGCTCCTGATCTACTTCTCAAAAGAAATCCTGAAATGCATATAGAATGCCCTCTAGTGGGCAATGTAAGCATCAAAACATCATCTCTTTTCAACGCACTTCCGGAAATGTCTTTGTTTTTATATTACAAGAGAGAGAAAGGAGGTTGTTGTATAAAACTGCAGTTTCATATGAAAATGTATATAGGGATAGCAGTAAAATCTTTCACAAAATATATATTAGAAACCTTTAACTTTGCAAGACATTTACGCACGTTAAGAATAGCATATTTACTTGCATACTGCGTAATACACACTATATATAGGTTACACTGTCTAAAAATAGTATATGATGCAGTACAATATACACGTTTTAAACAGTAGTATGCTAAATACATACGTTACCCCATTATGCTTTCAGGTCAAGTGGTGCTAATAACTTCAGAAATAAAAAATTATTTTAATCCAATTTTAAAGATGTTTTCAAAAAATTTTAAAAATATGTTCAATTAAGTAATGAATAAAAACAGATGTTCAAGTGCACAAGTCACATTTGAAATAGGAGTTTGAACACATTGCATTGTGGGATATAGTCTCCCAGGCAGTGTGTTCTGCTGTATACTATACATTTAGGCAAATGTGAAAGGTCAAACTGGTATTTTGCATACTGTGCACAGTATTCATACTGCATTCTACAGAAATAGTATGAGTAGTATAGTAGTATTCTATTCCGAACATACTCAAATATAGTAGGTCTATACACTGACAGCTTTAAGCAAAGCCTGGGTCGTTTAAATAAACTCTGCCCCCTAAACTTCATGAAACCATAGACAGATTATCAAACATTGGGAAAAATAAGTATAAAGAATTATTAAAAGTTAATCAGTCAGTTTATACAGCGCCAGTGCCATGCTATGAACAGAGCAAGCAAACAAACATAGAAATGTTGCTGTTACTGCTTTAAACACTGCTGTGTGGTATTAGCATAATGCTAAAACAGCTCTTATAGCTTAGAGGTTTGTTTAGGTTCATATACTGTGTAACAGTGAAAGTAGTGCATTGAGTTAAGAGCTGTTTTGTCTGTGTAGGTTTTGTGGTCTGTCAGCTGCGTGTTGTCTCAGAGTTCTGTCATTAACAGAGCCCTCAGCAGTTTCTCTTTCTCCATCCGCAGGTCTTCAGAGCTTCACACATAAGAAGACAGACGGATGAACAGAAAGAAGGATGGGAACAATCAGAGAAAAAACATCAAGAACCATGTCAACAGATGGAAAGAAAAATGGACAAACATGCATAACAAAAGAAAGATATGAATAATCACAGAGAGGCAGGCAGAAATATAGTAGGAAAATATATCTACTTATATTTTAATGGCATTATTAAAGATTTTGGAAAGGGCCTGACTGTTGTGTGTGTACTTAGTATTCCCTACATTATGGGGACCAAATGTCCCCAAGGATAGTAATACCAGTAATTTTTGTCCTTGTGGGAACATTTTTTTAGTCCCCATGAGGAAAACAGGTTATAAATAATAGAGAATGACGTTTTTTGAAAATCTAAAAATGCAGAAAGTTTTCTGTGAGGTGTAGGGTTAGGGTAAAGGGATAGAAAATAGTTTGTTCAGTATAAAAATCATTACATCTATTGGAAGTACCCATAACACATGGAAACCAGTGTCTTTGTGATTGTATGTTACCTTTCTGTATGTGTGGCATATGGCAGCAGGTGAGGTACAGGACTTGGAAAGAACAGTGGAGAGTTGTCACGCTCTAAATGTGACGTATCCTTCTGCTATAGAGAAGAAAAAACAAAACAAAAACAAAGGTCTGTATATTGTCACATAGCATCTCCAGGGATTAAACTGAGATTTTAGTGGTGGGGGAACTTGTTTGCACAAATTTGTAATAAACCAAACAAAACTGTTATTGCATATTAGTGGATTTATATATATATAAAAAAAAATGGTTGCATTTTATTTTGTGATTTAGCTAAAGCATGCATTATTTATCTTATTTATACAGTATACATAGGCCTAGGCCTACACCTTATTCGTTAAAGTGCCCCTATTATGGATTTTTGAAAATTACCTATCATGCAGTGTGCAACACAGCTCTAAGTGAATGGAAACATCCTGCAAAGTTTTAAATCTGAAAGTGCACCGTGTACAAAGTTATTGTTTCTCAAAAGAAAGAGTCGACTCTGAATCATTGAAACGAGTCGTTTTTAAAGGGGTCATATGATGCAATTTAAAATTTTCCTTTCTCTTTGAAGTGTTGCAAGCTCTTGGTGCATAAAGAAGATCTGTAAAGT